TTTTTAAGAAGAAAGGGAGCCGAGCACCAGCATTCATCTCTCTGCTTCCTGACTGGACGCAATGTGACCAGCTGCGAAGGTGCTCCTGCCACCAAGCCTTCCCCACCATGATGGACTGCACCCTCAAACTGTGACCAGACTACTCTTCCTAAGGTGCCTTTGCCAGATATTTTGTCACAGCAACAAGACAGTCAATACAGGTGTCAACCCAGGCACAGTCGGGCCTGTCATCCCAGCACTGGGGAGGCTGAGGTAGGAGGATCACAAGCCTGAGCTATAGAGTGAGACCCTGCCTTAAAACAAAGCCTGAACAAAACTTAACAGCTAAACAAAGGTGCCCCTGGTGAAGGAAGGCACAAAGGGCCTTCTGATTGGCTGGGTTAATGTTGTGGGTGCAGACAGTACTCTTTTGGAGGGTGGTCCAGATAAACAGACTTGGGCTGGTTTCTCAGAGAAGGGCCTGAGTTGACAGAGGGTCCCCTAAGGGTCCTCTGGCATCTGCAGGAGGGTTCCTGGAGTCCCTGGCTGGGACAGGATCCACACACCACCCATCTCTCAGCCTCTTGCCCCACCCAGCCTGGGTGTCTGGTTGGACCAGAACCTTGGTCCCAGGCCAGAGCAGGAAGCCTGGTGCAGCTCAGATTGTTCCTGGGAAGAACCAGGAGAAAGATGGTGAGATGCAGGGACTTGTAGCATGGCCTTTTAGTTAACCCTGCCCACATGTCTATCTAGTGTCTGCCAGGCCACCCCACAGACGAGGTGGTAGGGTCTTATGTGAGCAGTGCTCACTCACCCTGGGTATCTCCCCTGTCAACAAGGAGACCCTGGTGAGTTCCTGCAGCTTCTGTTCAAGGTCAAAATACTGGTAAAGGCCAAGAAATGGCTCAGGGTCCCACCTAGCTCTGGGCTCTGATAACAGTCTTCCAGCCTAGGTGGTGGAAAAGGGTCTGTTCCCAAAAACTATAGAAAAGAGGCAAATATAGATATGTGTGGGAGGGGCCTGGGCTTCACCAGTGATGGCTTCTGATTGGCAGACCATCCCCTGAAAGCTAGTCCCACAGTGGGTGACGGCAGGGCCCAAGGTCTCCACAGAGAACCCAGATACATCCTTCCAGGTTGGAGTGTGGCCCTGGGGCAGACCCTCCCATCTCACACAGGGGTCCAGGCACCCACACTCCCCTAAGCTCAGCCTCCCTGAATAGATGAAGTCACCCAGCTGGATGCAGGGGTACCCAGGTGACCAACACAGTGGAACCCCACACACCTGGCAGCAGGTGACTGGGGAGGGTGGTGGGGCACCTGCACATGTCCCTCCCCAAGTCCACCCATAAGGGATCACCAAGGACCCCAACCCAGGGCACCCTCAGAACCACCCCCTGGACTCTGAAAGGCCAGTCACATGGGGTGACACAGGCTCCACAGGGGTATGTAGGGGACAGTCCCTACAGGCCTTGGCTGTCAGCTGGGTCCTAAGGCAGACAGGCCTGAGCCACCATGGCCATGCACCCATGCCACCTCAAAGCCAACTTCTCCCCTCCTGGGTGCTGGGAAAGGTTTGCAGGGGTGCTGGG